TTCCATCATGAGTTATTCTGTTACTATATTACATTGTGCCACCCTTCTTTCACAATGGTATTATTGAGGTATTTGATTCTTCAAATAATATGTTTGAAGTACAGCTCAGTTGCTGCTCAAGAGCTTCTTGCAAACTGAATACATTCAGTCAACAGTTAATAATTCTTTAGAATTGTACACACAACCACAGCTTTCTGCTCCAATAACCATTACTTGACATCCCACCACATTTTAACAGAATGCCCCAGGAGTGCAGCAGAAGTTGATTCCACTCTAAATGTATATTTAAGGCATAAGAAAAATACAAAATGGATATTTAGTTGCAAATACTCACTCATTTTACAGCAAGAAAGGTAAGAGCTTTAGTCAGTTACCAGTACATTGGATTGAAACCAATTTGAATGTGACACATTATTATGTTTTCATCGACAAGACCTCATTGTCCCCGTAACCCATCACCCCCATCCTCACCAGATTCCACTGGTTTCCCATCACGCAGAGGATACAGTTCAAGATCCTGGTCCTCACCTTCAAAGTCCTCCATGGCCTTGCTACACCCTACTTCTGTGACCTCCTAATCCCCGCGTGCGCCCACAAATATACAGTCAATTCACTTTGCAGTGTGTTCTGTGAAGCGCTTTGGGACGTCCTCCCGACGTGAAAAGCGCTATATCAAATGCAAGGATTATAACTATTATTATTATTCTGCCTGCTCCCTCCGCTCAGCAGTCTCTGGCTTGCTTCATGTCCTTGGCCTCGCCTGCCCCGTCATTGGTGGGCGAGCCTTCAGCCACTCTGCCCCCACCCTCTGGAACTCCATCCGCAGTCCCTCCACTTCGCCACCTCACTTGCCTCCTTCAAAACCCACCTCGAGACCCTCCTCTTTCACCGTGCCTTTGATCACCCTTCTTCCCCCCCTGCCCTCCACCCACACCGATTCCGACCCCCAGTTCGGGGCCAAAACACTGACTGTCCAGCACCTTGGGACGTCCTCCTGATGTGAAAGGTGCTAAACAAATGTAATTTTGTTGTTGAATTAGAGTTATATGTGTGTAGTTGGTAGATGCCAATTAGCTCGGTTGATGGCACTCTCGCCTGTGGGTCAGGAAATTGTAGCCCCGTGTCAGGACTTGAGCTTGACCTAGGCTTGGTGTGGAGTCCTGTAGCATAGTAGTGCACAATTGGATTGAGTGTTTTGCCCACAAAATAAACAGTATATGCAGTAACTATACGCGTTACAGTATATTCTGTGAAGCAAGTGAGATGTAATAAGATGCTGTATCAAATGCAAGATTTATTATTAGGCTGACACTTGAGTGCTGTTCAGGGCAGTGCCATGGTTAAAAGGTGCCACAGTAAACCCAGGAACCATTCTTCAGACCATCCACCTGATCATGTTGATGTTAAATAAAAAGTTTGGATTTATTCCAAACGGAAGTTCCTCTTAAGTATTCTCACCAATACTTACTTACTGGCCATTTGAGGGATTCTGCCCAGATTGACTGATGTATTTGCCCATAATATACACACTTAGTTTTGTGTGAAGTACTCCGAATTGTTGCAACCCAACAAATGAAAGATTATTAATGCAATTGCTTAGCTACTTTAAATCAGACTAAAGCAGAAAGGAAATGAATGCCCCATGTCTAAATAGAAGTTTAGAATGAAGTCCACAAAATAGTCACTACATTTTACAAATATTGAATGCAAAGATTAATTAAATAATAATCTCATTTTGATGTAGTGTCTTACCACTTAATTGAGATGCCTTTATAGTGGCTGTGTATTTTGAGGCAAATCATAAAACCTGGTACCACACTTAGAGATAAGGAATTTATTTTGTGGTAGCGTAGACAAAAAAAGTCAACGTATATTAACTAAAAATACCTTTGTATCACTAATGATCTATTCAATTATGACACTAAAGGATTTTCAGAATAATGAAATGACTGACTGTGAAGGTTTCTTGTTGCACAGCAGTTGTACAATGTGAAATAAGACAACAGACTGCATTTCAGCAAAGCCTCATTCTAAGTTATTGCATTCTGCCTTGATGAAATGTAATCACTTAAAATGGACCCTACAGGACTATGAAAAAGTGTTTTTAATCCACAAAATAAAACCGCAAATATATACAGTTTATTTTTCTGCACCAAAAATGGCAGGTGGGGTGGAAGAGGAATGAAGGGGAAATAAATGGATACAAAAAGCAGACCAATCTGGTTAAAAGTCAGTAAAATCTGACATTGGTTTGTGCTTTCTATCCACAAAATGTCACAGCATAACTCGCTCCCAGATCGCCAGCATCAAATATGATGGATACTGGTGCCAAATAAACTACTCAACACTGAAAATGTGTCTTGAAGCAGCTTACTGACAAGAAGGTTATCTCTGCAGCATCACAGATTCAAAGTTAATCTATGAGCAGCCAATCATCTATGAATTGGCAGGACTGCAATGCACGTGGACAAGAATGAAAAACTTGAGCATTTATTTCTCCCCCTGGGAAAATCATTTATTGATTGCCATTCACCAAAACAAGTTTACAATTTCCCAAATAAAATTGGTCATAGACTTCATGGCAGTTTGTGAGATATTGTTGTGTTGTGTGCAGATTGGCTGCTGAATTCAGCTACTTTTAGTTACTAAATTTTACAGTAAATCCTAATAATAATCCTTGCATTTTATATAGCGCCTTCGCATGTCTTCGTGACTTCTCAAAGCAGTTCACAGATTATACTGTAAAGTGAATTGACTGTATATATTTTGTGCAGCAGCCAATTGCACACAGCATAATAATTTATTATTTTGTTTGAAGGAATTGTTATCCCCAGAAAAATGATCAGCCAATCAACGAACAACCATCAATAATATAATAATAAACCATGTGAAGTGTTTTGAGGCAGACAAAGTGATTAGGCACTAAATGTATCCTCCATGACAGGCAATTTCTGATAAAGCTCTGGACCTGAATATTTGACTAAACACAGCAAGTGTCAATAGGAATATTTAAGAGACTAGATTCATTAGCACTGCTTAGCATATCTGTGAAGCGCTTTGGGACGTCTGGAAGACGTGAAAACCGCTATATCAAATGCAAGGATTATTATTATTATTAAAAGAGAGGTTCAGGTAAATTAATCACATACCCTGCATCTTTTATTAATATTAAAATCGAGATCTCATTATCTCAATATGCCAAGCTGGTACCTGCTGTTCTGCAGGTAATCTGCCCTTGTACAATACTGTCATATCATCATGGAACAGCCCTGCAAAATACTCAGTAGGACCAATATCTAGCCCAATCCTCTCAAGAATTATTTGCAGTCAGTTAATGTATCCAGCAGAAGTCATTTTTTTTAGGCAAGCAGTGACTTGATTTTCCTCTTCTCTATTGAGAATACTATACTACTAAAAGTAACATTTCATTACTTCATTACTGTTTAGCCAATGGAGCAAACAGTCAAAAAGCTTTACTCAGTTAATGAGCTGAAAAGGCAAAAACCCTTGCTTGTACCCTTTGGGCATGTCACATGTGCTCTAGACTCTCTCTCTTTCATTCACACTAAATGTTGAGGCACAGGTTAAAAATAGCACTGGCTTTGCAAGCAGCCCAATGGATTTAAAGGTAGTCATTGTCCTTTAAGCAATATTAATCTCCTTTCATTTGTCATTAAATGGGCATGATTTCTCCTATTAAGCAGGAAATTAAAAATATGCACACGGATGCTAACATGTCACAAAATGACCCTACTAAACCCATTATATAACATTTTGGTGTAAAGGCACATAAAAGCTGACCATACATATTACTGCCTCGCTCATTAAATATTAAATATTAGCAAGAAGGGCACAATTTATAAAAGTCCCACACCAAGATCCAATGAAATGCGGCATATAAAATGATGTCTCCTATTATTAACTGGGGTAGGATTTTCATGAGGCTATGGGTCGTTTAACTCTGTGCAGAATTTGGATTCAACCTATTCTTCGGTTCGAGGCTGACAAGTTGCTGAACTATTACAGTTTCACTGGGGGAATAAATGAGAAAAAGCGTCCGGCCTTCTTGATCCAACAGCCCAGCATTTGTGGAGACTTGGTGTCAGAAGTGAAACTCGCACCAAGAGAGCAAATCACTTGGCGCCAAGTAAAGATGGGTAAAGGGAGCCAGACCGCGGCCACATGAACAAGAAGCAGGTGATCCCGGATAGTCAATACCCAAATCAAGTGACATTAGGACATGTACCACTAAACCAAAAGGCAAAAAGGCTTATGGGTGGGAAGGGAGGGGAGGGGTGAGTTTCAAATGGGAAAAAAAATAAGTAGTGTGTTTGTACATTAAGTGAATCATAAACCGTTAATACCAGAGGAAAAGCACTGAGTTTTGCAATTAGCCTTTAAGAATTTAAGGAATAGATAAGACAGCCCTCCCCCCCCTCCCCCCAACAACACAAGCTGTGCTGACACATTGCACTGTCCTGTTTCAGCCCAGTCCAGCCCAGTCCAGCCGTCCTGCAGCCTTCACAGCAATGCCACGGCCATGAGATAACACCGGGAAACGGCCCCACTGTGTGTGTGTGGGTGTGTGGGTGGGGGTGGGTGGGTGGGGGTGTGTGTGTGTGGGTGTGTGGGTGGGGGTGTGGGGGTCTGTGTGTGTGGGTGTGGGGTGTGGGTGGGTGTGTGTGTGTGGGTGGGTGTGTGTGTGTGGGTGAGTGGGGGTGGGTGAGTGGGGGTGGGTGAGTGTGTGTGTGGGGGTGGGGGTGTGGGTGTGTGTGTGTGGGTGAGTGTGTGTGGGTGGGTGGGTGTGGGTGTGGGTGTGTGTGCGCCCTTCTCTGCTGCCGCACTCCCGGGGACGGCACCGCAGGAGTGTGGATGATTCTCACAGCGAAACCGGGTCGGGTACCCACACCCGGAGACCCGACCTCACACACACACACACACACAGAGGGAGAGGGAGAGGGAGAGAGAGCATCGCTGGGCTCACACCGTCAGTTACTTACACTGCGCGTACTTCTGCAGTTGGGAGAACTCCGCGGGGCTCAGAGTGACCCACTGCTCCCGGGCAGTGGCGGTGGCGTTCACGCTCATCTCCTCCGCATTCCCGGCTCAGCCTTTCCCGAGCAGCCGATGGTTAACAGGTCCTCCCTCCGCGTGTCCCCCCCCCCCCGGTCGGCCTGGGCTTCGCGAAGCTTTTTTTTTTCCTTCGCGGGATGAGCTGCGACGACGAGAGGAGCCCTCTCGGTGGCTGTTCGTCTGCGGGGCAGTGGCTGCCGAGAGCACGGGCTGCCCTCCCTGCCCTCCCTGCCCTGCCTGCCCTGCCCTGCCCGCCTCTCCCGCACCGCCAGCGAAGTACCTGAAACATGAAAGCAAACGATGGCTTTTTTAGTGAACGAGTGGCAATTATTTCCGCAGACGCAGCGCTCGGCTGAGAGTTTACCTGATGCCCCGCAGGGTCGGATCTCAACGGTGCGAGACTCGCACAGAGAGAGACACACACACACAGAGAGAGAGAGAAACTGCTGATTAAAACCACTCCGCAAGTCGGTCTCACACGAGCAGAGGGTTTGCCATCGAACAGCCAAACCCGTTACTTTTCTGGTCGTTTGCAGTCAGTCAGTCAGTCAGTCAGTCATTCACGTTGTCAAAGAGGATTGACTGTTTTGCTGGAGTTGAAGAGCAGACTTGCACCTGACTGATCTGGAATGGGACCCTTTACCCTAACAGTCTGGGTCTGGCCACAACTGCTCTTTATTCAGTCCCCAGGATCATTCCTAATATAACACATGATGTCACTCTATTTTTAAAGGGATGCTGTTCCCTCATTGTTGAAGTGTTATTTTAAGCAGGTTTTTTTTTTTTTACCTGGAATAGTATGTTCTGCTGAATCAAACACCTCCCACTTGCCACATGTGTTTTATTTCCATGTAATGTTGGAAACTTGCTGTCACCGTGACCGCGAGCCCAGGAAAGTGTCCAGCAAAACAGTCACCCTCTTAAGCTTGTGCCCTGCAATGAGGAAGATGGATTTCACAGGCCCATTCCTGACAGTGTTGGGGCAGGAACAGGTGCTGATCTCTTAGGCCGCTGTAGGTTTTAGTTTTAATAATCTTTGCATTTGATTTGATTTATCATGTTGTCAATATGTCTCAAGCGTCTCACAGGATACACTGTAAAATGGATCAACTGTGTATTTTGTGAGCAAAATATATTAACTACTTTGGAATATATTAAAGCAAACAAGACCTGTGTCTCCAGACATGCCCTTTCTGACCAGCCGGATGACTTTTCTGCTTTATTCTCTGAAATGCCACCCCAGTGTCCATTTGTCTTGCCCTATCCCTGCCTTCAAAACGTTCTTAAGACCTGTTGTTTTAAAGTTTGGGCTATGCTTTTAGCCACTTTTCCCACTATTGCCCCAGCCCCAATTTCAAGCTCCCAGTGCCCCATGCGCTTTGAGATGTCCTCCCAATGTAAAAGGCTCTACATCAATATAAATTATTTTTGTTGAAATTTTCTTTGCTTTCTTAACTAAAAGTGTGTCATTGTTTGTGAATTGCATCCAGTATTGTGTGTGGATTGACCCAGTATTGCATAGAGTCTTTGTCCTGGGTTAGATTCACCTTCCCTAAATTCTATGTTAATATGGTGATGCTACCCTCTTTCAAAAATATTTATATATAAACAATGGCTGAAGAACACAATTTTCTTAAGATGCCCGCATGACCAATTCTTTCTTGTGTGGTTGGGTTAGAAGGTTGAGCTTAAGGCTTTTCGGGGGCTGTAGAAAAACAAAGTTTCTGCCCTGTTCTCAGGAATGGCATCCCAGAGTCCATCTGATTTCTCCTCCACTCACCCACCCCCAACTTCCCCATTATTGTAAATTCACCATAAGAACCTTTGGGATTTCATGCCTATGGTCCTCAAACTCATCAAAATATAATTTTTAAATAAATATTATTTTATTCCTCCACGATAAACTTGCTCTTGTTTTCTTTTACATTTCAGTCAGTTTCAATTGATGTTCCTGTTTGAGAAAATTCTTCTGATTCTTGTCGTGTGGTACAAGATCTAATTATTTAAGATTAGAAATAATTTGGAAATGGAGTTCACTGAGTTGTCCTTGAATGTTTAGGATTATTGTGGGTTTATTCTATTGGCTATCAATTACTATTTTGTGTCTGTGTGGTAAATGGTAACTTTGCCTCAGTGGAAAAATTGACATGTTTCATGGTAGTTTGCCAGCTAGAATCATCATACCTTTGGCATGAATGTTTGAGGGCACGTCCATATTTAAAATTATCATTGATGAGCCCAAAAGGAAAATAAACTAGAAAAACTTCTTGGTATCTGTCCTGAAACTGCCCTTTAAAACTCTAAAGTCATGTCCTCTTTTTCTACTGTCTTGATGCATCTGAAGGTATTGTTCTGTGTTTACCTTTTCACAGCCCTGGCAAACCACAAGGACCAGGATTCAAATCAGGGAGCTCCTGTTCTGTAAGAGATGGTTCCAGCATTGGGACTGCCCCCAATTTGGGCCTTTCTACTCAAAATGTCATTGACCTCAAAGGGCCAAGAGCTGAATGGATCCACCAGAATTCACACCTAGAACCTTCTGGGTCTATTCTCAACCAACTGAGCTACCGGAGTGACTGAACTGGTTTTTCAGTATGTCAAAGGGTTGTCAGTTTTGTATCCAGGATTAGTTCTGCACTGTTAATTATCGAGAAAATAGTCCCATGGCAATTGGGATGGATTCCATGTCTCACAGTAAAGTTGCTTGCATCAGGGAGGTCAATCAGACTGTGCGGCAGATTCATTATTAGGGAAGCTGGTTTGGTTACAATAAACATTTTAGCTTCATGTATATACATTCTTGTTCCAAACTTGCAAAGTATCCATTCACTATTCCTGAGCTTTCCAAAAAGCTCACCTTAACACATTTATTTTTCAGTGTTTACCTTAAACTGTTAAATGTAGGTGTTGCAGAACCTCAAATAGCAATACCATTGAAGTAGGCTCATGTGATGGTTCAGTTGGTTGCCCAGTGTAGTTGTGATAAAGGATTTCAAGTACAAACCTGGTGAATGTGATTGTGGATTAAAATGGGTTCTGTGTTTAGGTTACAACTGACTTCTCTTTTGTTACAGATGGAGATGTTTTGAGACAGCCCTGTGTTCAAATTGTCTTCACTGGGGATCTGACTGAATGCTATTTTTAAACATTCAAGTATTAGTTTTGTATCATTATATTCCCCCAAAAGATTGTCAGTAAATTGCTATTGCTTCTTTTATGTTAGAGAAGGAATTTTGTACTGCGTTAAAGGACAGTTATGTAGAGAGAAAAAATTGGTAGATTTACATTTTACTCATCTAGCCCTAAAATGGAAGATAGATTAAAATGTACAGTTCTATAACATTAACAATCTTGAATAATCAGTTGAAATACTCCAGATTAAAAAGACATTTTAAAAATAAATATTTTTAAGAGAAATTAAATAAAGTTACAACGCACAAGAGGGATTTTAAATTACAATGACAGACCAATTTAGAAGCAAGGACCAGCATTAATTTAGAAATTTAAATTTTAAACACTTACAGAAGGCCATTTGGTTCATCATGTCCATTGGGATTGATACAGTGATTGATACAAATTGATACAATTTGATGAGCCAAAATAACCTATGTTATCAAATCTATCATAATGATCCTTACAGTTGCCATTGTGCCTTTCAATTCAGGAGAATGTTTCAAAGCGCTTCACCAGATATACTGTGTGTTTTGTGGGCGATTATTCTATGTTGTAACACTGGAGGAAAAAGGAGGTATTTCTATGCTATCTTTAATCTGATTGTACATGAAGGTGAGAAATAGTGCATTTTGACAATTTGTTTCAAGATTTTTTCAATCAAGATAAGTGTCATTTCAATTCAGATATTCCTACAAAATACTTAATGTCAGGATTCTATTGCAGTTCTCTTAAGAGTTACGATTGGTTGTAGCACAGTTTCCTTGAAAAGCAAAAATAAATTGTACTAACATTTTCGATCTGGGTTTATTGAATCTGTCTGTATATTCAGGTGGAAATTAAAGATCCCATGACGTTATTTGAAAAGAGAAGTGAGTTTCTCCCTATATCCTCGCCAATAATCCTCCAGATAAATTGGTCATTCATTTCCTGGCGTTTGCTGTATGCAGATAGGCTGCTGTGATCACCTACAAATGTATCATCAGTACACTTTGAAACAGTAACATTATAAGCACTGGTGCAAATGCAAGGATTCATATTATCAAATTCTCCATGTGGTCAAACAAGAGTTTGTTAGCACACTTCAAAATTGTTTTTAATTCCTTTCATAGTGAAAGAGGAAAACGTGCATAAGTCTGATATGTATAAATCATATAATTACCTAAATCGCATATCCATCCAGGTTCTGTTCAATTTCCTATTAAATTTATATGCACAAATCTTATTAACCACCGCCAGTTTCGCCACGACCACTGTTTGTGCTTTCCGATCTAAAAGGTGGAGTGCAACCAAACTGACTAAAAGTGTTGATAGAAAAGCAACGGTTTTGTGGATTAGCAACAGGAAGACATAAGGTTCATGTCCACAGGTTAAAAAGGGACATGGAAGCAATTTTGGAAATTCATTATAAGGCAAGGACACTAATTGGATGTAACTAGCTTCCCTGATGGTGCAGCAATTAAAGGCACTGTATAATGCAAAACTACACCATAAGATGAAAATAGTAGGTTCAAGTCCCAGCTTGTGGTAGATGGTCTCAGCTGGAGCAGCAGTTGAGTTGCTAATAGCTAAGTATAAGGTAAATTGATTCAAATTACTTATGGAAAGGAAGGAGGACATTTAAATAATAAAAATAAATACACCAATTGGTAGGAGATTTCTCCTCGTTATTTCTGCTTTAAATGTGGCAGCCTCGCTCAGTTGGTAGCACATTCGCTTCTGACTTAAAAGGTTGTGGGTTCAAGCCCTATGCTGAGACTTTGTCTATAATTAAAGCTGACACTCCAATGCAGTGCTTGAGGGAGTGCTGCATTGTTTGGAGATACCATCTTTTGAAGAGTATTAAAACAAAGTCCAATTGCTTATTCGGATGAGCATTAAAGACTCCATGCACTATTCAAAGAGA